CTCTCCCTCTCCCTCTCCCTCTCTGAGTCTCCTTCTTTCACTCTCCCTCCCTCCCGCTCTCTCTCCCTTTCTCTCCCTCTTTCGCTCTCTCTTCCTCCCTCCCTCCCTCCCCCTTTTCCTCGTGCGCATCCAACCTGATCTTGTGGGATGCGTGAAGGGCAAGCTGGGACGTTGCTGAGCTCGTCATGCGTCACGAGTGACTAGGCCGGGTGCAAGGGAGATCGAAGAGCCCTGTGTAAAAGAAGTCTGATGCTGCATGCTACATGGAAACACTCGGGAAGGCCAGCGGCTATGGAGCGGCTGAGCGGCGGACTCGGACCCTTCACGTGACAAGTCTCTCGTCTCCCCTGAGTGCCAGAGCCTGTCCCCCTGCTCCAACTCCTCCCATACTGTCCGGGCCGTACGGTCAATGCCAGACCGTCCAATCTTGATCCCCCTCCCTTCAGTGCCTTTGAAAGTTCCGACTCAGTTGATCCGATCAGCCGCGACTGACTCCCGCCACGACTGACTCCCGCCAGTCTGAGGCCGGGCCGCGTAGCCGCTCAGTTGTACGGCTCCGAGCCTGCGGGGCGACTCAGTGACATGGGCGCCGGCTCACTGAGTGAGCTTGAAAGTTTCAGTTCAGTGATGACAGGAAGATGGTCCTGAGTCACTGAGTCAACTTGCGCACTGCCGGCCCGGCACCGTGCACCTTCCGACACAAGTTCAACAGTTTCATGTGGCAACCGTCGGGTGCAGTCACGGTGCCGGGCCGGCAGTGCGCAAGTTGACTCAGTGACTCAGGACCATCTTCCTGTCATCACCCGGTTACTGAGCGGCTCTGAGGATAAACTGGACAGAAGATTGCCGTTGCAAACCCCCACCCCTCCATTCCCTACACCCCCGGCCCCACCCGCGATCCCTGTAATAGTACCCCCCACCCCACCCCCATACCATCATCGATATGACTCGGAATGACTACCGTACGGTAGTACCGTACTTGTACCCTGCAACCCGAGGGTGGTGCCACTTGTCTGACCGGTCACCTTTAGGGCCTTGTGCCGCATCCCACCCCCCGGTCTCTCAGGACCCACCCACCCTTGACTCCCTCCCTTCTCATATGCTAGAGGCTCCGTCAGAGTCCGTTACTCTGAGTGCGAGCCTACCGTTGTAGGGCACTATCACGGGGTAGGGTGAGGAGATGCAAGGGTGGGGTCCTCTGTTATACGGGGGTGGATGCATTTGGCAGGGGTGCTGGAGCGGTGCAAGATGGGGGTGGCGATTGAGGCGCTATGGGTGCCACACCCAGGGGTGGGGTTACAATATTGCAGGTAGGTGGTATAGTTGGTAGGGGTAGGGGTAGGTGACATTGAGGCCAGGCCGAAGCACCATGAGCGGCATGGGCGAGCAGCTGAAGTGCGAAGTCTGCGATGACACAAACGCGACCATCCAATGCCAGGTGAGGAAGAGGATGACGAAGCCTGAAGGAAGGGGGAGGGGAGGAGGGAAGAGCGCAGAGGAGCGGGAGAGGAAGAGGAGGGGAATGGAGGAAGAAGGAGGAGAACATGGAAGAGGCACAGGGATTTTGAGAGAGAGGAGCAAAGCGACAAGAGCGGGGAGAGTGAATGGGAAGGTGTCGAGTCATGGAGGGAGGGAAGCGAGATGGTGCAGCGTAAGATCTACATGGCGAGATCTTCATGGCCCAAAGTGACGTGGCCTTGTGATTTGCTCTCGTCTGTGAGGAAGAGGCATAACGGAAGCTGGATCGCGATTCAACGTGGAGGAGGAGAGAGATCTTTTCTCTGAACCATCGGTTGCTTTCCAGGAGTGTAGGCGCAACACCTGCGAAGAGTGCGATGAGATCCTTCATCTCGTACGCCGCTGAACTCTCGTGCCCTGCAAGCTGAAAACTCACCCTGACCCATCAGGTGGACGCGAACAAATCCCACACGAGAACTCCTCTCTTCCGCAACCGCGGGCTCGGCCTCAACTCCCGTCCGATCTCCCACAGCTCCACTCGCACCACCTCCCCGAGAGAAGTGAAGGCGCTGGTGGGAGCAGACGCCTCGATGCCGGCGCCCCCGTCTGACCCTCTGGACCGCAGGACGAGCTGAAGCTTGGGGACATGAACTCGTTCTCACCGATCGTCAAGTCGGAGGACCTGAGGAGGGAGAAGGACGTGAGGCGTCTGCGATGACGCTGCCGTAGCTGATGCAAGCTGCAGCAGATGAGACCATACCCTGAGCTCTCGGACTTCCACCCTCCTCCTGACAACCTGCGGAAGCCCCTCGGGTTCGCCTCCAACGCCCCGGAGCCGCCGATGAGAGACAACGTGTCAAACCTTGAGCGAGCGCAAGAGCTCAACATGGACTCGCTGAAGCCGCTCCCCTACTTCGATCACCACGGGAGGCACGACTACCCCGAGCAGGAGCACCTGCCCTACCGCAACTACGTGAGGGCATGCGAGGCTCTGACTTGCGACTGAGAGGTTGCTTGCGCAGATCCACGAGCCCACGGTCAACCAGGTCTATGGGAGGACATCTGAATTCGCTGCACAACAAAACTTCAATTCCACACCGCAGAACTTCAACTCTGCATCGCAGAACTTCAACTCTGCATCGCAGAACTTCAACGCCACGCCGCAGAATTTCAACTCGACCCCGCAGAATTTCAACGCCAACGTGAACTTGTTCTCTGCGCTGCTCTGCTGAATCCTCACTGTGCTCTCAGCAACCACGGAACGCGAGGGAGTACGGCAACGCTCCATCCGTCTATGCGAGATCAGGATATGCAACCCCCACAAGATCAAACATCAGCCTAAGTATTATTTCTCCTCCTCCCCCACCTTCAACTCCCTGACTCTTGTCCCCAGGTCAATTCCGCAGCGGCATACGGTCAGTGTCTCAATCAGGTTCCAACACCCCCACCACTCGAGGCAACGTCTACGTCCCGCAATGGCCATCGGCTGCGAAACAAGTTCCGCGGTTCTCGAATGGTCCAGTCCCTCAGCAGCAGCATATGCTGCATGCTCAGCAGCCGACGCAACAACCTGCTCCAGTTGGGTCCCCACCGATGAATCCAAAGTCTCCAGGAAATCTTCAGGTGGCACAGAACGTTGCTCATCCTCGCAATCAACAACAGCAGCAGGTTGATGTTGCATGCTTGCACACTATGTGCATGATCGTGTTGTGCAGCATTCGCAGGCATACTTGCAACATCTTGAGGTGATTCAACAGCACAAGGCAGTCGAAGCTCACCAGAGATACATGGCACAAAGAAACGAGATGATTTCGCGGCAGCAGCAGCAGCAGCAGCAGCAGCATCAGCAGCACATACAGTTACAACATCCGATCTCATCTCAGCAGCCTCAACTTGTTCAGAATCGCAAAGAATCGCTGGTCATGCTGACCCCGATGCAGCAGATGTACTTCCATCACTGTTCTTGTCATGAGGAAAGTGATCGACGTCGCAGGTACCCAGCTTTGATCCCCTCAAACCACGGAAGTGTCGTCCCTTCACTCGCTCCTTCTCGCCGAGGTTCTCCACCGCCAATGCAACAACCGCCCGTCCCTTCAGCTGTAAGAAGGACCGTGCTTCAGCCTCAGACAGGCGATGACTTGCGCTCTTGTTACAGGGCCCGCACTTGCTCTCGGGCGACCCTTCAAGAAACATGCCTGTGTCACATGCTGCTTGGTCCAACTCGAGGAACCAGCCGTCTGTCCCCACGATCCAGGTCGCTGCCATGTCACGGTGGTGGTTGAGTTCATGATGAGGTGCTCTTCCAGGTCGTGAACGCATACATGCCAAACTACTCGCAAGCTTCCTACGGGTACCCGGGCTCAGGAGCGATGACGCCAGTCTATCAGTACGACAGCTTCTGCGTGATCCCAGTTAGCTGACTAGTTCCGTTAGATATCCCATGATGCCGTCAGGCTACAGGACTTCGTCCTACTCCGAAGCCAAGAGTCCCCAGGCCATGCATTACTATCCCGTCTCATCACGATCCTTCACCTACTATTGAGAACCTCGTTGGCTTCCCAATGCCTCCCTGATCCGCGCTTGAAAAATCAAAGAAGACAGAAACAATGCCATATGAAACAAAAAGTACCAAAAAGAATTTGCTAAAACAAATAAACAACTACAACGAAACAAAAAACCAACGAAACTATCGTAAACATAAGCAGAAACAGTCATCAAATTACGAGAAATCACGAAAAACTGAAACGGGTTCAAGCTTCTCCTCCGCCTTCCCTGGCCCTGACCCCTTCTTCGAGAAGGCGTCCCCGGAGTCGAAATACCTCGTCTCGTGCTGCCGCTGCCGCTGAAGCAGCGCCCCCGCGTTCGGCTTGGCGTTCCCAAACTTCCGCTTGAACGCAGCCTCAGCCTCCGCGTTCTTCCGAGCGATCTCCTGGTCCTCCTCCGTTCCCCCCTCCTCTAGCTGTCCCTGGACTACCGCAAGTGGCTCAAGCTTCTCCTCCGCCTTCCCTGGCCCTGACCCCTTCTTCGAGAAGGCGTCCCCGGAGTCGAAATACCTCGTCTCGTGCTGCCGCTGCCGCTGAAGCAGCGCCCCCGCGTTCGGCTTGGCGTTCCCAAACTTCCGCTTGAACGCAGCCTCAGCCTCCGCGTTCTTCCGAGCGATCTCCTGGTCCTCCTCCGTTCCCCCCTCCTCTAGCTGTCCCTGGACTACCGCAAGTGGCTCAAGCTTCTCCTCCGCCTTCCCTGGCCCCGACCCCTTCTTCGAGAAGGCGTCCCCGGAGTCGAAATACCTCGTCTCGTGCTGCCGCTGCCGCTGAAGCAGCGCCCCCGCGTTCGGCTTGGCGTTCCCAAACTTCCGCTTGAACGCAGCCTCAGCCTCCGCGTTCTTCCGAGCGATCTCCTGGTCCTCCTCCGTTCCCCCCTCCTCTAGCTGTCCCTGGACTACCGCAAGTGGCTCAAGCTTCTCCTCCGCCTTCCCTGGCCCCGACCCCTTCTTCGAGAAGGCGTCCCCGGAGTCGAAATACCTCGTCTCGTGCTGCCGCTGCCGCTGAAGCAGCGCCCCCGCGTTCGGCTTGGCGTTCCCAAACTTCCGCTTGAACGCAGCCTCAGCCTCCGCGTTCTTCCGAGCGATCTCCTGGTCCTCCTCCGTTCCCCCCTCCTCTAGCTGTCCCTGGACTACCGCAAGTGGCTCAAGCTTCTCCTCCGCCTTCCCTGGCCCTGACCCCTTCTTCGAGAAGGCGTCCCCGGAGTCGAAATACCTCGTCTCGTGCTGCCGCTGCCGCTGAAGCAGCGCCCCCGCGTTCGGCTTGGCGTTCCCAAACTTCCGCTTGAACGCAGCCTCAGCGTCCGCGTTCTTCCGAGTCGGTCTCGTTTCCGGACCGTTCGCGACTTCGTCCGGGTCTCCTCGTCCCCCCTCCTCTAGCTGTCCCTGGACTACCGCAAGTGGCTCAAGCTTCTCCTCCGCCTTCCCTGGCCCTGACCCCTTCTTCGAGAAGGCGTCCCCGGAGTCGAAATACCTCGTCTCGTGCTGCCGCTGCCGCTGAAGCAGCGCCCCCGCGTTCGGCTTGGCGTTCCCAAACTTCCGCTTGAACGCAGCCTCAGCCTCCGCGTTCTTCCGAGCGATCTCCTGGTCCTCCTCCGTTCCCCCCTCCTCTAGCTGTCCCTGGACTACCGCAAGTGGCTCAAGCTTCTCCTCCGCCTTTCCCTGGCCCTGACCCCTTCTTCGAGAAGGCGTCCCCGGAGTCGAAATACCTCGTCTCGTGCTGCCGCTGCCGCTGAAGCAGCGCCCCCGCGTTCGGCTTGGCGTTCCCAAACTTCCGCTTGAACGCAGCCTCAGCCTCCGCTTTCTTCCGATCTATCTCCTTGTCCTCCTCCGTTCCCCCCTCCTCTAGCTGTCCCTGGACTACCGCAAGTGGCTCAAGCTTCTCCTCCGCCTTCCCTGGCCCCGACCCCTTCTTCGAGAAGGCGTCCCCGGAGTCGAAATACCTCGTCTCGTGCTGCCGCTGCCGCTGAAGCAGCGCCCCCGCGTTCGGCTTGGCGTTCCCAAACTTCCGCTTGAACGCAGCCTCAGCCTCCGCGTTCTTCCGAGCGATCTCCTGGTCCTCCTCCGTTCCCCCCTCCTCTAGCTGTCCCTGGACTACCGCAAGTGGCTCAAGCTTCTCCTCCGCCTTCCCTGGCCCTGACCCCTTCTTCGAGAAGGCGTCCCCGGAGTCGAAATACCTCGTCTCGTGCTGCCGCTGCCGCTGAAGCAGCGCCCCCGCGTTCGGCTTGGCGTTCCCAAACTTCAGCTTGAACGCAGCCTCAGCCTCCGCGTTCTTCCGAGCGATCTCCTGGTCCTCCTCCGTTCCCCCCTCCTCTAGCTGTCCCTGGACTACCGCAAGTGGCTCAAGCTTCTCCTCCGCCTTCCCTGGCCCTGACCCCTTCTTCGAGAAGGCGTCCCCGGAGTCGAAATACCTCGTCTCGTGCTGCCGCTGCCGCTGAAGCAGCGCCCCCGCGTTCGGCTTGGCGTTCCCATATTTTTGTTTGAATTGTTGTTCTGCTATTCTATTGCTTTTTTCTATATCGTTATGTTGAGTTTCTTTGTTTCTTTGAAGTTGTTGTATATCAGGCTCCCCTCCTGATACAATTGTATCAGCTCTTGATTCTCTTTGGCCCTCAAATAGGCGATCCTGAATTTTGAAAAGGCTGTCACTTTGAATTTTCGTTCAGTTTTGGGAGAAAGAGAAAAAAGGGCATCACTTACAATAGTATTTCCGGGAGTTTGCAAACTGTGAGGCATGAAGGAGAATATCTTTGTCTCGTCGGTTTTCATCTCTAGCCGTCCTGATAGTTGATCCGGCTCATTGATTATGCCCTCACGTAATTCCTTCTGGGTGCAACCAGACAGAATCGTTTGATAATCTGACGATTTCTCCGTGAATTGTCGTAGCGCAAACTCGTCTCCAAAACGAAAATGCAGGCGGGTCTCTTTTAGACGAAATATCACTCCATCAACCCTCACCCAGAGACGTTGCAACACATAAAAATAAGAATTGGTAACTCGAATTCTTACAGTCAGCTGACTGGTTCCTGCATGAAGATAAGCTCTGAAGATCTTAGCAGTGGAAAACAATGTTTTTACCATTATCATGAAGTTCATCTTCAAACAAAATAACATCGGACGACCATAAGATACTCTCTCCTGCACGAGGCTAGACCAACAAGTGAAAAACAGCAAGACAGCCCCCAAACAAATATGGCAAGCAAAGGCACGTGCGTTAAATTGTCATGAAAGTAAATAGAGATCACTGAAATAATGTACTTCTAGTGCATGTGAAAGATGGTCACCTTGAGGCTTTCGAAATCGATGCGCTTTTCTGTAACAGCTCCTTGGATTAGCTCCCCTGATCGAGTATCCTTGAATGTCCCCCTGAGAATCAAGAATTTAAACACAGCTGTATCATGAAGATGGTTACTTATAGTTTGTGCTATACGTCCAGTCGTACTGGTGTGCTTCAGGAACTTTCGCCCGTGCCTTAGCTTTCCATCTTTCAGACACGCTCACTTGCAAGTCTGATGAGCTAGGGCACTAGGAAAAATCAATCGAGGAGTGTCAAGAAAATCATGCAGCACCGTTTTCAAAGCATCATAAGCATTGAATTCTATTTGCATGCCAATGCCCTCGTTCCTGTGAAAAAAAATTCAATCAACGGCGTATTAGGAATGCTTGCTCACCCTATACGTAATACTGAGTTGCTGAAGCACATTTCAGGCAGTGTCATATCCAACTCTCTTGTCCAACTGATGTGATTCATCGAGTTTCAGCACAAATGCCATCAAGAAACAAAACAAGGATCACACTTGTCGGAATCATGCGATGAAATGATGGGCGCTTTGATGGCAGAGAAGTTCCACCCATGAAGTTTGAATTCCATTTCCCTTTGAGTGACATCTGCATGGACAAGTAAATCAACTTCTCACCAACAATTATCAGCAAAATTCGATCTCTGCAAGGTTCTCCTACCTTTGCCAATTGGTGGCTCTTGTTTGTTTGTATCCCTTTTCCATGGGGCTGAAAAAGAGATCACTTGCAAAAAGCACAACACCTGCTCTCTCTTCCCCCCTCAAAACCCCAAGACCGGCACCTGCTGCCAATAGACTCCATACCCGATGCCGGGTCTGACAGCTGCTCTGGCTCCTGCACCTTCCCCTGCTTCATGTTCCTGTTACCCCCTTCCCGGT